TGGGAGAGGGAATACGGAGTATGTGTTAGCGCCCCCTGCTGGCTGGGAGGACCTGGCGCTGTGCGAGCGCCTCCTGGCGGCCGACCCCCGCAACTGTGAGTACTGGTTTGTACTGGTTTGTACTGGGATGGGGTCGTGGGCGTGCTGGGAGAGGGCTGGGGTCACTGGTTTGTACTGGGAAAGGGAATAGGGAGTATGTGTGGGCGCCCCCTGCTGGCCGGGAGGACCGGGTGGCACACTGCGAGTTATACTGGTTTGTACTGGTTTATACTGGGATGGGGTGCTGGGAGCTACTGGGTTGTACTGGTTTATACGGGGATGGGGTGCTGGGTTGTCCTGGGGGATACTGGGAGGGGCTTTGGGAGCTACTGGGTTGTACTGGGGGATACTGGTTTGTACTGGGATGGGGCCTTGGACCTATTGGGAGGGATTTCAGGTTGTGCTGGGCTTACTGGTTTATACTGGGAGCTGCCACCACGGGCTGCAGGAACTCGGAGGTGCTTCCCAGTCCTTACTGGTTTGTACTGGTGCCCTCCCAGTATAAACCTGGGAGCCCCTAGACCACACTGGGAACGGCTTTGGGTGCACGAACCCTTACTGGTTTATACTGGGAGCTGCCACCGCGGGCTGCAGGAACACGGAGGTGCTTGCCAGTGCTTACTGGTTTGTACTGGTGCCCTCCCAGTATAAACCTGGGAGCCCTTGGAGTGCACTGGGAACGGGTTTGGGTGCACGAACCCTTACTGGTTTATACTGGGAGCTGCTGTTACAAGCCTCAGGGGCTCGGGGGCGGCTCCCAGTCCTTACTGGTTTGTACTGGTGCCCTCCCAGTCCACGCCTGGGAGCACCGGCGGGCTCTGGTGGCCGGCCAGGACCCCGAGGCCGAGCTGGCCTTCGCCGGGGCCCTGCTGAGCCGCGACTTCTCCAACTTCTCGGCCTGGCACCACCGGCTGCGGCTGCTGGCGCCCGCCCGGAGCCGCGGGCAGGGCGAGGCCGGGGCGCTGCCCCCCGAGAGGCTGAAGGAAGGTGAGAGACTCCCCAAAAATCCCCTGGATCTCAAAAAAATTTAGGGGGTTGGGGTGGGTGGGCAGACCTGGTGTCCCTAAATCCCCATTGACTTTAATGGGGGTAGACCTGGTGTCCCAAAGTCCCATTGACTTTAATGGGGTAGACCTGGTGTCCCTAAATCCCCATTGACTTGAATGGGAATAGACCTGTTGTCCAAAATCCCCTTGACTTTAATGGGGGTAGACCTGGTGTCCCTAAATCCCCATTGACTTTTAATGGGGTAGACCTGTTGTCCAAACTCTCCATTGACTTTAATGGGGTAGACCTGGTGTCCCTAAATCCCCATTGAATTTAACGGGGGTAGACCTGGTGTCCCTAAATCCCCATTGACTTTTAATGGGGTAGACCTGTTGTCCAAGTTCCCCATGTAGACCTGGTGTCCTAAAATCTCCATTAATGTTGGTGTCCCCAAATTCCCATTGACTTGAATGGGGTAGACCTGGTGTCTTTACAATTCCCATTTACTTTAATGGGGTAGACCTGGTGTCCCTGAATCCCCATTGACTTAAACGGGGGTAGACCTGGTGGCCCCATTATCCCATTGGTTTCAATGGGTAGACCTGGTGTCCCTACAATCCCCATTACCCTCACTGATCAGACCTGACCTCCCACACACCTAGGGTGTCCCTATTCAGATTTTGGGGCGCCCCCTGAGATTTTGGGGCACCTCCTTTGTCCCCCCCAGAGCTGGAGCTGGTGCAAAACGCCGTCTTCACCGACCCCACGGACCAAAGCGCCTGGGTGTACCTGCGCTGCATCCTCTCCCGAGGTAACTCGGGCTTCCCTCCCACCCCTGGGGCTCTCATCTGGAGTTTTGGGGTGCCCCATGAACGTTTGGGTGCCCCCTGACAGCCCCCCCACCTCCGAGGGTCATCTGTGTCCACGTCGACCGCGAGGACACGACGCTGGCCGTCATCTTCTCCCGGCCTGTCAAGGTGAGTGGGGACACCTGGGACCCCCAAAAATCACATGGGTACACCTGGATTGCCCCCAAAATCACCTGGTTGCCTCCCAAAATCACTTGGGAATCCCAGAAATTGCATGGGTACACCTGGATCCCCCCAAAAATTCACCTGGACACCCCCAAAAATCACATGGATACACCTAGATACCCCCAGAAATCACCTGGATCATCCCAAAACCCCTGGGGACCCCCCCAACTGGTTTTCCTGAATCCCCATTACTTTGACTGGATAGACAACTGGTGTCTCATTTATCCCATTGACTTCATGGGAGGTACACCTGGTGTTAAATCCCCATCGACTCTAATGGGGTAGACCTGGTGTCCCAAAGTCCCCATTGGGATTAATGGGGTAGACCTGGTGTCTCTCAATCCCCATTGATTTCAATGGGGTAGACCTGTTGTCCCTAATTCTCCATTGACTTTAATGCGGTAGACCTGGTGTCCAAAATCTCCATTGACTTCAATGGGGGTAGACCTGTTGTCCTATGTTCTCCATTGATTTCAATGGGTAGACCTGATGTCCCTTAACCCCCATTGACTTTAATGGGATAGATCTCGTATCCAAAAATCTTCATTTGGCTTGCTGGGGGTAGACCTGTTGCCCCAAAATCCCCATTGCCTTCAATGGGGGCAGTCCTGTGGTCCATAAACCCCTATTAACTTTTATGGAGTAGGCCTGGTGTCCCAAAATCCCCATTCAGTTTAATAAGGGTAGACCTGATGTCCCAAAATGCCTTTTACGTCAATAGGGGTAGACTTGGTGTCTGTAAATCATTGACTTTAATGTGGGTATACCTGGTGTCCGAAAATGCCATTTACTTCAATGGGGGTAGACCTGGTGTCCCAAACCCTTCATTCACTTCAATTGGGGTAGACCTGGTGTCTGTCTATCCCCATTGGGAATAGGGGTAGACCTGTTGTCCCTAAACCCCCATTGACTTTAATGGGGTAGACCTGATGTCCCAAAATGCCTTTTACGTCAATAGGGGTAGACTTGGTGTCTGTAAATCATTGACTTTAATGTAGGCATACCTGGTGTCTGAAAATGCCATTAATTTCAATGGGGGTAGACCTGGTGTCTGTAAAATCCCCATTTACTTTAATGGGTAGACCTGTTGCCCCTACATTCCCATTGACTTTAATTGGGGTAGACCTGGTGTCTCTCAACCCCCATTGACTTTAATTGGGGTACACCTGTTGTCCCTAAACCCCCATTGACTTTAATGGGGTAGACCTGTTGTCTTTAAACCTCCGTTTACTTCAATGGAGTAGACCTGTTGTCCTGATTTCCCCATTGACTTTAATGGGGTAGACCTGTTGTCCCGATTTCCCCATTGACTTTAATGGGGTAGACCTGTTGTCCCGATTCCCCTATTGACTTTAATGGGGTAGACCTGTTGTCTTTAAACCTCCATTGCCTTTAATGGGGGTAGACCTGGTGTCCCTAATTCCCCATTGACTTCAATGGGGTAGACCTGTTGTCTTTAAATCTCCATTGACTTCAATGGGGTAGACCTGTTGTCTTTAAACCTCCATTGACTTCAATGGGGTAGACCTGTTGTCCCGATTTCCCCATTGACTTTAATGGGGCAGACCTGTTGTCCCTCATTTCCTATTGCCTTTAATGGGCAGACCTGATGTCCCACACATTTTGCTGCTAAAAACTCCAATTTTAGGCCTGGAAATTCCCCATTTTTGATAAAAAAACACCCAAAATTTTGTGCTTTTCCCCCCCACAGGTGAACCCAGAGTGCCCAGAGCTGACAGCAACCCTGGATGGCTCCGCCCTGGCCGGGCCCTGGCGCTCAGCGGAGGGGCGGCCACGCCCCAGCCACACCTGGGTATCCTCCCCCAGAAGGCAGGGGGGCGGGGCCTGAGGTGGGCGTGGCTTGGGGTGGGCGTGGCCACCACACCGGGCACACCTTGACAGGTGACATCAGCTCTGCGACCTCCCTGCCCCGCCCACCGAGCGCCCCGCCCACCTGGAGGTCACCTGGGCGCCTGACTCCGCCCTCCGCCAGGTGACGCTGCTGCCAGGTGAGGCCACGCCCCCATCTAGCCCCGCCCACTTCTGGCCACGCCCTTTCCTCACCTGGCCACGCCTTTTTCTCTCCCAGGTGAGGCGGAGGCTTGGTGGCAGGAGCCAATAGTGGAGAGGGAGCTGTTCTGGTGAGCCACGCCCCTTTTTGCAAACCACGCCCCTTGTTAAGCCACGCCCCTTTCTTTGCAAACCCCACCTTTTCTCACCTGTTGGCCCCGCCCCCAGGCCGGAGCTGGGCGTGGCCGATCCTCAGGTGCTGCAGGATCAGGTGCAGATGTGCCAGGAGCTGCTGGAGCTCGAGCCCCAGAGCCGCGGTGAGAGCCTAAAAAACCCCAAAAACACCCCAAAAACACTCCCAAAACACCCTAAAAAACATCCCAGAAACACACCCAAAATACACCAAAAAACACCCCAAAAAACACCCAAACCCAATCCTAGGTAAACCCAAAAACACCCCAAGAACACCCCCAAAATACCCCAAAAAACACCCAAGAATACCCCCAAAATAGCCCAAAAGTAGCCCCAAAACACCCTAAAAACCACCCCAGAAATACCCCAAAAAACACCCAAACCCAATCCTAGATAAATTAAAAAATACCCCAAGAACACCCCCAAAATACCTGAAAAAAATGCCCCCAAACCACCCCAAAGTCACCTTAAACACCTTGACAGGTGACATCAGCTCTGCGACCTCCCTGCCCCGCCCACCGAGCGCCCCGCCCACCTGGAGGTCACCTGGGCGCCTGACTCCGCCCTCCGCCAGGTGACGCTGCTGCCAGGTGAGGCCACGCCCCCATCTGGCCCCGCCCACTTCTGGCCACGCCCTTTCCTCACCTGGCCACGCCTTTTTCTCTCCCAGGTGAGGCGGAGGCTTGGTGGCAGGAGCCAATAGTGGAGAGGGAGCTGTTCTGGTGAGCCACGCCCCTTTTTGCAAACCACGCCCCTTGTTAAGCCACGCCCCTTTCTTTGCAAACCCCACCTTTTCTCACCTGTTGGCCCCGCCCCCAGGCCGGAGCTGGGCGTGGCCGATCCTCAGGTGCTGCAGGATCAGGTGCAGATGTGCCAGGAGCTGCTGGAGCTCGAGCCCCAGAGCCGCGGTGAGAGCCTAAAAAACCCCAAAAACACCCCAAAAACACTCCCAAAACACCCTAAAAAACATCCCAGAAACACACCCAAAATACACCAAAAAACACCCCAAAAAACACCCAAACCCAATCCTAGGTAAACCCAAAAACACCCCAAGAACACCCCCAAAATACCCCAAAAAACACCCAAGAATACCCCCAAAATAGTCCAAAAGTAGCCCCAAAACACCCTAAAAACCACCCCAGAAATACCCCAAAAAACACCCAAACCCAATCCTAGATAAATTAAAAAATACCCCAAGAACACCCCCAAAATACCTGAAAAAAATGCCCCCAAAGCACCCCAAAGTCACCTTAAAAATACCCCAAAAAACACCCTAAAAATACTCCCAAAACACTCCCAAAGTACCCCAAAAACCACCCCAAACAAACCCCAAAATACCCCCAAAAGCGCCTCAAAAATACCCCCAAAGTATCCCAAAAAATGCCCCGAAAACACCCCAAAGTCACCCTAAAAATACCCAAAAAATCGACCCAAAAAATACCCTCAAAAACCACACCCAAATTATCCCAAAAACACCCCAAAACCAGCCCCAAATACCCTCTAAAACACCCCAGAACACCCCAAAAAACACCCCAAAAATAACCCCAAATACACTCACAAAATACCCCAAAAAATCCAAAAACTGCCCCCAAAACACTCCAAAAAACCAACCCCAAATACCCCTGAAATTACCCCAAAATGACCTGGGAAATAGCTCCAAAATACAAAAAAGTACCACAAAAAAAACCCAAAAAATACCCCAAAATCAATCCCAAATACCCCAGAACATTCCCAAAAAACACCCCAAAAATACCCCCTGAACCATTTCTAAAATACCCAAAAAACACCCCAAAACAACTCAAAAACACCCCAAAAATACCCCAAAAATGCCCCCAAAATACTCAAAAACCACCCCAAAACCAGCCCCAAAACCACCCCAAAAACAGCCCCAAAATTACCCCAAAAACACCCCAAAAAACACCCCAAAAATAACCCAAATACCCCTCAAATTACCCCAAAAATACCCCCAAAATACAAAAAAAAAACCCAAAAAACACCCCAAAATACACCCCAAATACCCCAGAATATCCCCAAAAATATTTCCCAAAATACCCCAAAACCACCCCAAAAACAGCCCAAAAAACACCCCAAAATACACCCCAAAAATACACCCAAACCCAACCCCGAATACCCCAAAAATACCCCAAAAGTGCCCCCAAAATACCCAAAAACCACCCCAAAAATAACCCAAATACACTCAAAAAAAAATCCCAAACCACCCCAAAAATACTTCAAAAATTCATTTGAAACACCCCAAAAATAGCCCCTAAACCACCCCGAAAACACCCTAAAAAACACCCCAAAATACCCCAGAACCACCCAAAAAACACCCCAAAAAAATCCAAAAACTACCCCCAAACCTCCCCAAAAATACCAAAAAAAAACCCTTAAAAACAGCCCAAAAACACCCCCAGAAACGCCCCACAAACACCCCAAAAATTCCTCCAAAATCGCCCCTAAATGTCCTAAAATACCCCAAAAACAGCCCAAAACCAGCCCAAGAAACACCCCGAAATCACCCCAAAAATACCCCAAAAACACCCCAAAACCAGCCTGGCCCTGCTGCTGGCGGCGCTGGAGCCGCGGGGCCGCGCCCGGGAGATCCGGGAGCACCTGGAGAACCTGCGGGTAACTGGTTTATACTGGTTTATACTGGTTTGGGCTGGTTTGGACTGGGAGAGGTTTGGGGTGTCTGGGGAATCACTGGGAGGGATGTGGGGGGTTACTGGTTTATACTGGTTTATACTGGGAGGGGTTTGGGGCCACTGGGAGCTTCTTCAATGGGAGTTTTGGGGTTACTGGTTTCTACTGGTTTATACTGGTTTATACTGGTTTGTACTGGTTTATACTGGGAGGGGTTTGGGGCCTCTTGGGAACCACTGGGAAGGATGTGGGGGATTACTGGTTTATACTGGTTTAT